AAATCAAATTTACTTGTATGATAATACACACCTTTGAAAAATGTAAGAGAGCAAAGAAACGGGAAGATATTTCACGATAATGATACCTAAATGTGAAATTATTTTCCACCTCCTCAAAAATATTTATACGAATTTCATTGCTGTCCAAAGATTACCATAAGATCATAGAAATTTGAAAAAAAATTTTGGTATTCTACCTTATCTCTTTCATTAATTATAACTAATAACTGATTATAATAAGAAATATTAGGGCAATTATTATTTACAATTTACTAATAAAATTCTTTGCTAAAATTCTATTTTGAACGATTGTCCGAAATTATTTTAAAAAATTCATTCTGATGAAACATAATTAATTAATAAATAAAAAAAAGGTAGGCAGTGGAGATTTAAAGAAAAAAAAGAAAAAGGAAATGAAATTACATTTAAGTGATCGCTTGGGAGTATTTGAGTAACGTATTCACATAATTTTTTGAAATTAAAATTTAAAATGAAACAATCGAATTTATTGGATGTAAAAAACTTTCACTTTAATCTATATAAATACTCTCAGCGATCGATTATTGACAATAAAATTTTGATGATAATAGTAAAAAAAAAAAATTGTTGTAATGATAAATCAATAAGATGTAGTATAATTGCTAATGAGGTTATTTACAAAGGTAGAGAAGGAAGCAGCAATATTTTAGTGATATTTAAATAAAAACTGTAAATGATAACAATCAATGTTTCATTAATTAATATCAATATGTTAGACCTATAATTTAACGATAGAAAGTTGTAAGTTGTAAATTGCATTTTTGATAGGTACATTATGATGGCATCTTGCATAATATGACTAATAATAACAATTAAATTAAAATATATGATTAAGAGTGATAATATCCATACAGTGGTTATTTAAACGGGCAGGTTACATTAATTAGCAATTATTCGTTTGGGATGCTTTAAATGCAATTCATTATAACATTTAATTAATATTTCACTAACTGTATTAAATAGTACTGGGTATTAATTGAATAACTTGATTTAATGAAATACTAAAGAGGTCATTTAATTTTCTCGAGAATTAGTAATTTTATAAGATATGTAACCTACAATTTTCACACATATGCTTTTTTTTTTTCATTACTAATAATTAAATTTAAAATGAATAGGATGAATGGAATGATTAAAGAGGTGGTGGACCATCAATGTAATCCAAATGTGGTCCCAAAGTTGTTCGCCAAGGTACAAGAGATGATGTAGCAAACCAAGCTGTAAATGCTGCTATTACAGCAATAATAAACAACACCTTAATGGACCAATTGATATGATTAGCGCTTGCGCAATTGTCCTTTTCCAATCGCATCATCATTTTTTCATCATCTTTCAAATGTGCTCGCTTTCTGCTACGTACCAATGTTGATTTATCAACACTTTTTGCATGACCCAATTCCTTTTCAAATCTATAATAACAATTTATTCAAATAATATCACAACATTTATAAATCACATTTCAGTGCATTATTTTTAACAAATCTTTGTAATGATAATCATTTTCATTCCATATTTTTAAAATCAATCATTCGTATTCGATTTCTATATTCAATTTCAAATTTAGATTCCATATTTTCTGAAAAATATAGGAAATCATAAATGAAGCAAACCTAGTTTTTAGTTGTATTAATGCATTCGAATATAGAGCTAATTCAGAAGCAAAATCGATAGGCGGTGGTTGAGTGGAGGGACGATTATGAAGTGATGCTAAATTACAACTCAGGTAATTACATGCTGTTTCTAGTCGATTCATTCGTTCTTGACATAATTCTAATTCAGAACATATTTGCTGAAATGGAATATTAATGAAAATAATATATGTGACAGGATTATTGTCAACGAAATAATAAATGACAATTCTAAGGACAAATTTGCAAAAGGAAAAAGAAAAGACTCGGAATAGTTTTTCTTAATGTAATTCAACATCCAAACAATAATAATATCATACAGTATCGTAAAATTATAATAATAGGATAGAACTTTAAATTTCATTGTAAAACTAGGCTTTCCTAAAAAGTTATCTTATTTCTGAAAAAAAAAGTTCATTCTTGTCATAAAGGTTATCACTACTCTCAATATTTGAATCTCATTGACAGTTGATCTATCTATACTAATCAATCATGTGAAACTTTATGATAAAAATTTAGAAAGAAGTAATAGAAGTTATCAGTAGCACTCACTTCAGAGTTATCAGTTCCTTTGCGAAGATCAGATAGATGACTTTCAATAGTTCGCATCATCATTTGAACAATTCGTTGTGTTTCTGACCAATCATTCCATTTATCACGGATAGCTTCAATTTGTGCCATTAACTGTTCCACTCGTTCCAGGGCTTCTTCGTATCCTCGACACAATGGTTCGAATTCTCCCAGTAATCCTGATAAATCACCAGAAAATGAGTCTGAACTTAGCAGGGTTTGTAATTCCTCTTGCTCTTCTAGCAATCGTTCATGAATATCCTGAAAATTTTCTTCCTTTTCAATTTCTCATCTTCAAAATATCTCTTTTTATAATAATAAAGGCAAAAAAAAGAGATAAATTATTAAACGAAAAAAAAGAAAATATATATTAAACCAAAATCTGTGCATGATAGATAATTATCAAGTAATCTGTCATCAATCTCATCTCAAAACACTTTCTAATAATTTAAAGTTTTTCTCATAACCTTTGAACTTTTAACTTCACCTTCAACTAACTTTTTCCACTCATCTATTATCATCATTCTGTTGTCCAGAAATGCCAAATACTTACCTCCCGTACTAATTTTTTCAAGACTTAATATTATTAAAAAAAATTGAAAAAATTTACATTAAATATTTTGAGTGTACTGACAACGTCATCTAACGATCTGATCGATGATAGTGTCGAGAATGATGAGTCAGGCTCATTGTCATCATGATGGATCAATTTGAGTGAGGATGCAAATTTTTCAATTTTTGATAAAATAGTAGGCAATGGTGATTGTTTGGGTAGTGATGAAAGTGGAAATGATTCGATACTACATTCGGTTCTATTATTTGTGTTATCGCTATTTCCCAATAAAATGTTATGCAATTCAGACTCTGAGAAATGTCGTAATTTCGATGAATTCAATAATTTGCATGTTGTTAACGGTATTGTCCTCGCTTTGATTAATTCCAATTTATCATTAAAACTTGCAACCTGCAAAAAATTTTTATTTGCAAAAAAAAAAAGAAAACAGAAGCAAAATGTCCTTTTTCTTTTTTAAAAAATACGACAGAAATTTTATCAATTTGAAAGGATTAAATGTCAATATAAGTTATAAAAGAATATAAGGAATAGATGGATGTGCTTAAATTAAATGTGTGTTTTAATGCGACAGGTAGAATGCAACAGGTAGACAGGTAGCTAGAAATCGATATTTCATTACAAATTATATAATATTACAAAGAATTAAACAGCTAAAACACTGTAATTTCGAAAATTTTCTGAAGAATCAAGAAGTAGAAGAAATTTATCATAAAGAAGGTAACATTTCGATAAAATTCAATTTCTGAAATGAAATAAAATTTGTCACAACCATAGATGATTATAAAATCGATTCTCATTGATATTTGACGAAAGAGGTGACAGTAGAAGATGAGAGAAAGGTAAACCCATCCCCCTATCCATCCCCTTTTTCGATATCATCGATTATCATCAGCCATACAGTATTATTACCTAGCAACAACCCTTTTCACAACATGAACTGTTACACAGAAAAATAATGAAGGAAAACCATTCGTTTCTACTGATTACACCATAATTTATAGTGGAAGGATTGTTGATATTGCTCGTATCCATGGAACCCCTCTAAAACGGATGTTGTAACAGATGGACTTACCGAATCTTTCCGTATACATTTCCCGGTAACGGTAGCAACCGGTCGTGGTGCTTTTTCTCGTATCATCGTTTTCTTTTCATCCTACAAATCGATCATCATTAATTAAATAGAAATTAATGATATAAATGAGATCAGAAATTATCGTACCACATATATCTTTGTTCTCATTCATATCACAATACTATATCTATACTAAATTATGAACAAACTATAATAAAAATTACTCGACTACTGTAGAGAGATAATATATTGTGATTACTTAACATTAAAAACGTTTGATTAGATAATTAAAATTATGTGATAATCTATCAGATCAATAATTAATAGGTACTGTAGTCATTGGTCCATGTAATGGTAATTTGAATGAAAAATTAATTAAATAATTACGATGTAATAGGAAAGAAACTTACAAAGTTGTGAGATGAATGATTAGATGAGAAAAATAAATGTGATGGAAATGAAGAATGAGAGCTATCAAGTTGCATATGAAAATCATCTTCAATGGTTAATACTGATATATCTTCCCGATCACTCACATCATCCCATTCATCTTCAGCTTTTGCTGGTGGCTAAAATATATTCTTAAATTAAATTAAACAAAAATAATATGATCTACTATTCATTTTGGAGATAGGAAGAATACACCTGTATCCGTCTACCTTTCCTAACAATCTCCTAATATGATATAATTTTACAGGTGTAAAAATAAACGAAGTAAATTCATAAAGGTACTTTGTACTTTGATTTTTTTTGAGTTTGATTTTAATTCTGCAAAACAGTACTGATAAATTTCAATCGCTCCCTACAATTACTATCTTTTTAATTATATGAATATTTCAGCTATTCTGAATAGACAAATTTAGTTAACTTTTCGAATAAAAGTTATCTATTTATAAACAGAAAAGCAATGATTAAGCCATTATTGAATCTAATTTGAATAATTTTTAGCATACTATAATGTATATATGAAATAAATAATTAGTATACATGAAATAAGTGATGAAAGAGAAGTTAAAGAATGGCAAAATATGAAGAAGTTTTCTTAGGACTGTCCAATAAATTAAACCAATTATTTAATTAATTGCATGAGATTAAGTTAGTAAAAGGGCCTTGCTTAGAGTAAAAGAGGAATAAAAAAAAGCATCAAGAAATTTTTTTGAGGAAGATTAGTTTGAAATAGATTAACAAAAACATATCCATAGTATTTATCCTATGATAATGATAAAATTAAGTTGTTGAGTGATAAGTTATCATAATTATTGATATGATGAAAGCGAGAACTATTAGAAGAAGGAACAAAAACTATTTAATTTTCCCTAAACTAAGATGATAATATTATAATAATTAGTTATGAATGTGGATATCAAATGATACTAGACGTTATGTATATAAGGGTCAAAAGTCAAGATAATTTCGCAAGAGAGAGACATGAAGCGGATATGATGATTATAAATTTCAAACATAAATTAAACTATAGTTCAATGGTTAAGAATCTTTTGAACCAATTTTATTGATATAAACTTTGATAATTAAACCTTATAATCATCCCATTCATATGGTGGAACATCACTCTGATCTGGTCCTGTGGTATCACTATCACGACATATGTTACCACTCCAGTGTGATATTGATGCTCCCGGAGCTGAATGAATTGATGCTGCAAAATAAGTCTATTTATTATTAATGAACTTTTAACCAGGTAAAAGTAATTACTTAAGAAACGTGAAAATCGCCTTATTAATTAACTTTTTAACAACGATTTCTTCTGTTCCTCAAAAGATTTAACTGTTATGATCATACTACTTATTTAATTAAAATCATTCAATTATGAATTGATAGATTTTGCTCCGAATAAAGATGAGAAAACACTGACCATCCATGCATATTCCGAGATGCTCGCCATCAGACATAGAACGTGGAAGACGTCGAGCACGTAATTTACGTCGCATCTGATGCTTACTACGAAATGCATTTCCTAAATAATGAGCAGATGGTAAACGAATTGAACCTAATGATGCAGTAGCACCATCAAGGTGAGGTATCTCAGACCACGTCTCTGAACACATACTGTTTTCCATATCCTGAAATTAACACTATCAATTTAAAGTGCCCAGAATTTACCACATAAAATTTGCATTAGAAAAAATGACATTGAGTTAATTAATTCTAAAAACTCAATTGTTATTTTAAAACAGAAACAATTGGAATGGAAGATAGCATAAAAATAACAATTGAAAGGTTAAAAAAAGTCTTAAATAATTTTCATGATGATCGAGGAGAAGTGAGAATATGAAATCGGACTGAATGAAACCGGATCAGGATAAGTGGTAAGAGGAACCTGGATGAATAAAATTCAAGAGGAATAAAATAAAGACAGAAACAGAATGATGAAGGATGAAATTCAACAGGATCAAGATGAATTTAAGTTTGTCCTTCTCCAAAAGATGCAACAAACCCACCTGTTGTCCAAGTACATCATTAGTTATCTTCACTATGGACGGAAAACGATCCGATGTGCTAAGTCTCCCTTTGCGACGTCTTTTCAACGAAGATAGTCTCGTGTCCAGAACTGATGATGTTGTAGTGGATTTGACTTCAGTGATTGGATTCAGATCCGTCGGTAGGTCATCGCTCTCTTCACTGGATGCATCACAAGAATGCTGCAAATAAATAAGGATGAAAAATTATCAAGAAGGTCACCCAGCTAGATCCTACGGTTAATTCATCGTCTCATTTTCAGTTCATCTTCTGCTGATGGGAAATTTACACGACAGTAGGAATATACATCGGTTATGCAAAAAAGAGTGATAATGAATTATCCAATTAAATTAAACTAATACAAAAGAATAAAATCAAACCTTATCATTATTGTCACTATAGCTAAGAAGCCAGTTACGCTTGAAAGATAACTGATAACGAGTTTTACCATATTTAAATTCACGCCATTGAGTACCTTGCTGTTCAAATCCTTCCCATTTCGGATTACCATTTTCATCATCATTCAACATTGACAGTATCTCCTGCAAATATTTTTTTCAGCAAATTAGTAAATCAATAAGTCATACAAGAGAGATTTTAAAAGGAAAAA